GATATTTTATACATTTTGATAAATAGTATTTTGTATTTCCCATTATATATTCTGAATATATGTAATGTAAGATTTACAAGATTGTAGTGTAGTATTTTATTATACTAATATGCTTTCTATATTAAATTAAAAATGTTTCCCAATTAGATTTACATTCATTTATAGTAAAAAAATATTTTTTATTGAATGTCAATTTGGTCCCTTTTCCTAACACTCCCCTCATATTGTCAATCACATGTCAAATAATGAAGTATTATTATAGTAACTACTATGCAAATATCAGGACAAAGTAGGAATTGATATTCATCTGGTAGGTTTGTTAAGTATCAGCATGCTTATCGATTTATTATATTACATCAATTAGGCTCCGATAGGTACAACAAGTATCAGATAATTTTTGAACATTTATCAACCAACCGATATATTCTATGATCAGAAGACTTTCATAAACTTATTAAAAAATTGAAAGGTCTCCTAATTTAATTGCATATTTTATATTTTTAGCTAAATAAAACAATTTTAATTTTTTTGTTTTAAATTTTTAACGTAATAAAATTTTTGTGCTTTTAGTATTTATATAATATGTAAATGAAAAATAAAATTCATTGCATTATATTAAAATTATCAAAAAATGAATAAATTCTATTAAAACATTAATTAAATATGAAATTTTCTATTTAAGGGGATAACTGCATATATTTTCTTTATTTTTCTGTCCCATTTTAAAATTTCCTGAAATAAATCGAGTTAAAATATTGTGAATTGAAATGATACAATCTCTTCCAATTTCATAAAATTCTGATTTCCATTACAAGATTTTTCATAATCTTCATCTGTTTTACAATGAAATCTTGTTTTATGATTTTCAGCTGGCTTATACCATCTTATAAAAGCTAAATTATATGTTTTAGAATCATCTGATAGCTAAATAGTATGCTCAAAAAAAAATTGGACCTGTCCGGGATACACATCAGAAGTATTATCATTTAAAATAAAGCAAGCTAAATTTTTTGCCAAATTAGCATGCCAGAAAGACAATGTAGATCTGAATGTTTCTGATCTAATCTTTAATTGGTTAAATTGATTAACTTGTGAAAGAACAGGAATTGAATCTTCTGAAGCATTATAAATATATGATAATACAGTAAAATTTTTACTATAGGTATATTATGATAGAATTCTGCTAATAAGAGTGAAACATTTTTTGGTAAAGATACATTTTCATTCGATGGTTTTAAAAGGAACCTGGAAATGTTTTAAACCTAAAAGCTGCACCTTCTTCTATTATTGATAATAACCAGAATACCTTATAGTCCTCATCAGTATATTTATCATATACAAAAAAGCTTCCAACCGAATCTCTAAATTTTAATATTTCAAAACTTTCTTGAAGACATAGATTTTGATTAGTATGGGAAGTTAATTCATCCAGAAGAACGTTATATTGAATGATTTTCATAAGCTCCTGTTTAATTTTTTTATGACTGTTGTGAAATGATCATAAAATAATTTTGTGTTATAATAAATAAGGGGTAAATCAAACAATGATTAAACTGTAAATTACCTAGTAAGCCATTCATATGTTCTGTCAAAAAATACCAAAAGGTATACAATAGTTCATAATCCAATGAACATTTGCACAAATGCAAACATAAGTACAAATTAGAAGTTATTTTTCTAGGTCCATATTCTCTTTCTATTTCTTTTACCATTATTACCAAACGTATATGAGCTTCTTTAAGACCTTTTATTGATAATATTCTACATACTAATATGTTACATATACGTACAGAATTCTTTGGTCAGGTTCTTTAAAAAGATCCAAATAATAGGTATAGTATAAATTAATATAAATATTTTTTACTGATCAGCGGAAAAACCAGAGAAACCTTCACCTGTTGATATTCTATTTGGGAGTCTACCAAGGTCTGCTAGCACCTAAATTTTATTAGCTCTTTTTTGCATTAATAAATGTTTTGTAATGTTAACTTTTCTTCTTCAATCCATAGTCTTGTTACAATCTATTTAGCAATGCCAAGAAAAAGACAATGCATTGGATCTATTATAAGAAAGAGAATAGGATTAAAGTAAGGTAATCAATGTATTTCAGACTATCATATAAAAGTTTCTGATACATAGTTTTGTCATTGCTTCTCTGTTTTACAGTTTTTTTATACAAGGGCATTTTTTTTAATCTCTTTAACATATCTTTTTATAAATCAGCTATCTATATCAGAGAATCCTCTAAAATTCAGTTGGTTTCCATTATAATTAGCTTGTTTAAGACACCAGTAGCATACAATTCTTGCAGATATATACTAGTAAGGCTTTCTTGTGGCAGGTATATCATATGAACAACATATAACAGCTCCTTTAATTGTTTTTCCACTAGAGTGTTCAAATGTTTTCAATATAATACCCTACTATAATTTAATTAACTTATCGACTAAAGGAGCTAGATAATGATTTAGTTGATGCAGTTTTGGTTTATTCAGTTCTGGTATTATTGCTAAAGTCAATATATTTGCAGGTTTGAATCTTTTATTACAGGGTAAATTACAAATAATAGCATAAATTGCACCAGTACTAAATTATGAATTTCTGAATAGCTAGAACTAATCTATACTAAGCATTATTTCAAGATGAACATCTGATAATTCTGAGCGAAAAAATTGTGAACTATTTTCATCCTTAAAAGATTTTCCATACTCTTCCATCATATATATCGGCTAGAATTTCTGGATCAGATGATTAACCCATTTCCTACAAGATTCCTCAAAGCCTTTTCGCTTAAATAATAAATTTAATTGATGTTTTAAGCTAACTGTAGGAAATATCATAGCTGGTTTTTTAATTATATCATTTTTTGTATAAATATTCTTATATAAAAATGCGTCACAAGAATTTCTTTTATTGTTCATTGGATGATTAAAAAAGTTTTGATATATGCATTTTGTAAATTTAGGTATAATAGTGGGTTTGCTATTAGATATGTCATTAATATTATATAATTTATAATACTTATACAGACTGCATATTTTATTAAATGAATACAAAATCCAAGTAGTTTTCACGTCTTATAAAGAGAATTGGGAAATCCATAATATATATTTTTATTTATATTCTTAAGTATATAATGAAAGAATTTAAGAATACAATCTGTAGCCACATTGAATAATCAAAATCTTTCTTG